CATGTCCCACCTGTCCCCTATTCCTGCCAGAAATCCTCATCACTGCCCATCCGCCATGTAGCACCCTCCTCTGGCCTTGTCCACCTTCGACTCTCACTTTGTTTCCCTGTTTCTGTCAGAGGCACGTTTCACATGTGTGTGCCTGGTAACGCACCATCTCCATTAACGCTCCCTGGAGACTAAACCCTCAGCATCAAGATTCAGTAAAATCTTTGGACTCTCTCCCAAGGTGGCCTGGGCCCAGCCGTGCTGTCTGACCAGTCTCCTGCCTCTATTCTTCCTACTGCTGCCTGCAGAAGAGCACCCGCAGGCCCACGTGGAAAGAGGCTTTTTAACAAAGATCACGGGGTCGTGTCTCTTTATTCTTCTGATCCTCTTGTCCCACATCCCAACTCTCTTCCTCAGGTGACCTTCACAACCCTGGTCCACAGCAGGACCCTGAGGGGGTCTCTGTGACACCTGTGGAGGTTGCTACGCGGCCCTGTGGCAGGCACGTCTGGTCCTAGAAGCGGGACTAGGGGCACCAGTGAGCCCACTACAATAGTCCCCCAGCCCTGTTCAGGCCCAGGACCTTCATCCAGGTCCTGGGGGGAAGTGAGTGGCTAACTGTGAAGTGAGTGGGGAAGTGAGTAGGGGAAGTAAGTGGCTATCAGTGGGAGGAAACTGTCCTCTCCCAGCCTAGTCCCTGAGTTGACTCCAGGAATACCCCATCCTGCAGAGTTCTGCTCCACTACAGGGTCACCTCCCTGGCCAGGGATCAAAGTCATGCTGCAGTGGCTGCTGCTAGCTTGATAGTTTTGCATCTTAACCCTTTGCTCCGCCAGGGAGGCCTCAGAGCTTTTTCTTATATTCTCAGTTTTGGGGCTCTCTCTAAGATTTAGGACACTTTTTTTTTTTTTTTTGAAAAGTTATACACACAGGGCCTCCCCTGGTGGCACAGCAGTTGAGCGCTGGGCTGGGAAGCTGCCCCCAACCTCTGCAGCACCGGTTCGATCCCTGGCCATAGGCGAGGGTCCCACATAGCACACAGACCTCTCCTGCTGCCTGCTGCTCCCCTCAGCAGTGTACTTCAGTCCTTCTGCCTGTTCTGCTCCCTGCTCTGGCTCTGGTGAATTCTCTCACTCTCCCATGCTTCTGACTGTACCCAGTGCTTGTATAAATAAACAAACAAACAAATAAATAAATCTTAAAAAAAGTTACAAACATAGTAAAAGAAAATTGCATAGCCACCTTACTCACATTTCCCCAAGGACACATGGTGTTCCTCCTTCAGTCCCTCACATACGTGCTCACATTTCATCTCTATACACAAAGCCACAATTATTATTAGCATTTTTCTAACGCACATAAAAATGTGAACATGTGGCTCTTCTACGCCCACATCCTTCAATGTGCATTTTCCCCCAACATCCGCACTAACCTACAGAGCCACCTGATAAACATTCAAACCAGGAAATAAACAACAGGATCCAATCTGTATACTCTTATTTTGCCAACTGTTCTCACAATGTCAACTTCTTCTCTTTGTTTTTCTTTTTAAGAATCTGCAGTCTGCGGGCCTCCCTGGTGGCACAGAGAATTGAATGCCACACTGTGAAGCTGTCTGCAGCCTCTGCAGCGCAGGTGCAATTCCCGGCCAACCAGGGAGATACCCACATGGCACAGCAGACCTCTCCTGTCTTGCCCCCTGCTCCCCTCAGCAGTGTATTTCGGTCATTCTGCCCGTTCTGTTCCCTGCTCTGTCTATGGTGAATTCTCTCACCCTCCCATGCTTCTGGCCTGTACCCCAGCTCTTGTATAAATAAATAAATCTTTAAAAAAATAAAAAGAATCTGCAGTCTGGGCCTCCCTGGTGGTGCAAATGGTTAAGCACACACTTTGAAGCAATCCGCAGCTAGCCAGGGAGCAATCCACGTGGCGCAGGAGACCTCTCTTCTCTCACCCACTGTTCCCTCAGCAGTGGATTTCAGTAGATCCACATTTTCTGCTCCTAACTCTGTCTCTGGTGAATCCTCTCAACCCTCTCTTGTACTATACGCCAGTTCTTGTATGCATAAATAAAGAAAAATAAAATCTTAAAAAAATACTTCTGGAAGTAGAGGTAAATGGGAACAGAGCAAGAATGAACAGAGCAAGGACAAGCAACTTGTGGTTACAGGGTCCAGAGGCATTTTCAACGTTCTAGAAGTTCTAGAGTATACACAATTTATTCCGAACAACATGTATAAGGGAATGAGAAAGTAAGAGAAGATAATGAAGTTTCTGGGAAGGCAAAACACCTCCTTTTCTGAAACATCTTCCAAAGCTTTCCATTACATAAGTTTCCATAAGCTTAACTATCCTAAAGCATTTTCCTACCTTCTTGAGTTATCAAAACTTGGTCTTCCTGAGGACGGTTATCTCCAAGTAGTTACCTCTTTGCTCTTACCCATCTGTTCAGGGTAACGTGGTGAGCTCTCTGTCCCCATCATCCCTTCCAGACCAGCACTATCTTCTCTTCCATAATATAATATTCCTTTGAGTTCTCACATGTGACTAGAGCCTCAGCCAACTCCCTTCACTATGCCGGCACCGCCCTAATTACAGTCCTGATTCCCTAAAGACCCTGCACCCACCCGCCTTCCTTTCCCCTCCAGGACCAGCCTTCGTGCACATCCGGATGCAACACATTTCCAGGCTCGGAGCTAAGCTTTTGTTTTGCTAACTCTGCATTCTCAGGACATCCATGCTATTAGGCACAAAACAAATAATATGTACTGAATAAATATTTTTCAAAATGAATAAATAAATATCAGGAAGCAATAGACCCTCAATAATCAATAGTTTCCCATTCTACTACTTCTTATGGTTTTGCAATTAAAGTAGAATTGAATATTTATACCACAGATATAAACTACTCTTAAACTATGATTAAAGGTTCCCTAACAACATATTTAAATATGGGTACAAAGGTGTAACTACTGTCTTTACCAGTAACAGTGACATCTCTAAAGAACAGAGTGTCTTCAGTTTTCATTTGGCAAGTGCATAATGCTATAGGCACATTTTGTTTTTTTTTGTTTTTTTTAAAAAGATTTATTTATTTATGCATACAAGCACTGGGGTCCAGGCCAGAGGTATGAGGGGTAAGAGGATTCACCAGAGATAGAGTGGGGAACAGAAAGGCAGATTGACCGAAGTACACTGCTGAGAGGAGCAGCAGGAGAATCAGGAGAGGTCTGCAGTGCCATGTGGGTTTCTCCCTGGCCGGGGATCAAACTCGTGCTGCAGTGGCTGCAGACAGCTTCATAGGTTGCATCTCAACCCCTAGTGCCACCAGGGAGGCCGCTGCAGGCCCATTTTGACTCAAGAGATAAATACCATTGAAAATATCATATCATCATTGTTCTTGGAAAGATTCTGGTTACTCAATATCAGATTGTATTTTCCTTATAGTGCTGTAGGTTATAACTCCAAACTAAGACAAGTGGGAGGAATGAAATTAAACAGGAGCCCTCCCCCTTGCTAATAAATGTAATAGAGGAAATCGGCTCCTATAACAGAAAATGTGTGATATGGGGACATGGAAGAAGTACAACGTAAAAATGCCCTTGAAAGCAAAGACATTTCGTTGTTCTTCTGGATGAACAGGACTAAAATTACAAATAGGAGCAATGGTGAAAATTTAAATTGTACATTTGGTACCGTCGTAGAAAACTTTTGCAACTATTAAAAGTCCAGAAATTACAGTTCAAAATATTACAATTGCTTCATAGAGTCACCATGAAAAAGTACGTATGTGAAAAGGGCAAAGAAAGCAAGTTGGTCTGTTATGTCAAATGACTAGAAAAGTCCTATCATTCGCTTAACTCATAAATAATAACGATTACTGTCCAAGAAGCAGCTAGAATAGAAAGAGAATATTACAATTTATCACTTAAAAATGATGTTTAGTTTTGGATTAGCTGTGTCAATCTGTGTATAAGAGACAGGGCAGTGGAGATGTTATCAGTTCATAATGAGAGGCTCTCACAGATACACTTGGCACATGATCATCTGATACATGAAGGAATTAAAATTAGTTATTACCTTTCACTCACTACATAGTTGGTGACCATCTGCTTTGCTATTTTAATTGCATGATCAAAATCACTAGAACTACCAAATATTTAAAGTACACATTGATTCAACTTAAAAAACCTTTAAATCAGAAGCCAGATGATGCTCTTCAGGGACATTTCCAAATCTCCTGCCAAAAAAGGGGAATGGGGAGGACCCCAGTCTGAGGGAAGATGTCCCCAGAGCTGCTTCCTGAAACCCACCTGGGAACACAAGTCACAAGTATGGAGACAGTTCCTAGAAATCTGATGTCTTTCTGCTTTGGTGGAAGGATCTTCATTTGCATTTCTAAACCCCAAGTGCCCCCACCCTCAGACATGTAGCCTATAGAAGAGGGTGACTAAAGCAGCAGCTGCCTCTGTGGCCAGGGAGCCTGGTGCCAGGTGTCCCAGAGAACATGGGGAGTCACACATAGTCACATGTCACTGTGGAGATACCCCGTTGCTCAGCACGTCTGGCACCACATAGACAGAGCCTCTCATGGGGAAGGCAGCTCCCCAGAACAGGCTAGAGCCCTCTGATGTGGAAGGAGGCTCCTGTCTCTTGCAGCTGAGCCCTGGAGATAGATTCGGGCAGCTGCACCCCACAACAGGACATCAGCTCTCAGGACACCCGCACTTCTGAGCCAGGCCTAGACCTGGGGACCAGGGTGGGCTCCACCTCCTGCTTCCTGCTCCATCACCTCCCTGCGGGGAAACGCAACCCAAGTCTGACTTGTATCATATAGACACGACCAGTGCGAGAAGAAGTGAACTTTTTAGCTAAGGGTAACCAGGAGATGAGACACATCCCAGTGTCCAAGAAATTAGACCCAAAGTACAACACATGTAACCAGACTGAGGCCCTGTACTAAGCTCAGGGGTGACTACTCTGGACTGGGGCAGCAATGGGAGGTTTTTGTCTCACTTCCCCGTGGATCTGGAGCACTGTGGAGTCTTTGAGTTACCATGCCATGTAGCACAGTAGTAGTCGGCCTTGTCCTCAGGCTGTGCCCCCGAGATGAGCAGGAGCCCCGCATTGGCCGCAGTGTCTTTGGCTCCAGAGAAGCGACTGGGGACCCCGGGGCCCTGGTGCCTATCCGAGTCTGATTTATAACTCAGGAGGTACCGGGGAGGGCTCCCTGGCTTCTGCTGGAACCACCTCATGTAGTAACCTGCAACAAGGGCTCCACTGCTCAGGGTACAGGTGAGTCTGACGGATGATCCAGGAGACGCAGAGAGGAAGGGTGGCTGAGTCAGCACAGGCTGGGAGAGGGAACCTGCAGACACAGACATGTATACTTGAGGGGTAGACTCAGGGTAAAATTTCCCTGGGATCTGACAAAGAAGACAGAGAACAGCAGGAGACTGGCTCTGTCATGGAGGTTTTCCCACCTGTGCAGTAAGAGAGGATCACAAGGAGGAGAGGCGTCCAGGCCATGGTGCTCACAGCCCACATGGGGCTGGGCTCCCCAGGCCTCCTTTTCTTCTCCACCCTCTGCCACAGGAGGGGCTGTGCATGCAAATGAGGTTCCATCCAGGGACTACCCATCCCCTCCCTGGGCCCTGGTGCTGGAGCTCAGCTCACACCACACACTGAGAAGAGGGGGGGAGTTTGCTTCACCCCTTGGGACAGCCCTGGAGGAAGCACCTGCTGACATCAACAAAGGTTCCTGCTTAGGGACTGTGCCAGGCCACAGAGGACACAGTTGCTGGGTCTCCAACAGGAGCCCCACACAGCCCCTAGGCCCAGGTTCCCTTGAGAGAGGACTCACAGGTCAATTGCATAGGGCCCAAGGGGCAGTCCACAGCTCCCCCTGCTGGCGAAGGGGCACACACTCACCAGGCCTGACACCCTGTGAGGACAGTTTTTTTCCTGCAGCTCACAGATTCCCCTCTACTCACACATCATGACCTAACTCATAGGTACCGTGGCTCCCACAGTGCTACGCATGGTTATGCTAATTTCTCACTCTCCCATGGAGTTTTGATCTGTGGGAGGTAAAAACTGTCATGAATAACAACATAAGGTTTTCTCCCCAGAGAAGAGGCAGTAAAGATGGTATTGTGGCCAGCTGAGGTCGGAGGTGCGTGAGTGAAAGAATTCACCAGAGGCAGAGTGCAGAACAGAAAAGTTGAATTTATTGAAATACCCTGCAAGGGAGCAGGGGGCAAGACAGGAAATGTCTGCACTGTAAGAAGGATTTGGCACTCCATTTTATAATCCGTTTTGTGGTTTTTTAATGACTTGATCTCCCCCAGCCACTGTCTGCTGGGATGACAGGTGTCAGGGGGCTTTCCTTACAGAGGTGTCCTGCCGGGTTCTTTTTGCCCTGTTTCTGCATTTCCCGAAATTCTCCATAGCCCCTATTGGTCATGTGGACCTGTGGCCAGGTGCCCATGGTCACTGTATCAGTTTCCTTTCCTATCCATTTTGTGTCTCCCAGCATTGTTCAGCTGAGCAAAGTGCAGACTGTTTTAACTCTATTAAATGACACCCCAGCAGGTATCACTTCATTAGTATATATTTTAGCTATACATAAATGGTTAATTTTACATGGATTATGTATTTAAAAGGAATTTCCAACTACTCCTATACAAATTTGTCTTTTTCTTTCATTCCTTAGGTTTTTTTTTCTTTTCTTTCTTTTTTTCTTTTTATATATTTCTTACATCATTTTTCAATTTTTGCACAATATATGCATTCTTATCTTGGTTATATTCCCCATACAATTCCAACCACCCTTGTTTTGAAACTACTCCCTTATCTCCCCCCTGTAGAGGGGACAAATTTGTCTTTTAATATCCCTTTTTGTAGCAAAAGAACATGTCCCACACCGCCATCTACTGGGATAAGTGGAAATAATGAAAAAAATCTAGAGGTTCTCTCCAAAAAAAAAAAATAAAATAAAATGCACTTTCCTAGATAGTATGGTTCCATAGGGAAAAAAATGAACAATCATCCCAATTTCTTTAGAAAAATTAGTAAATTCCACAGAATGGCATAAGATGCAGACAATTTCACGGGACACTAACGAAACCTCAGAGATCACACTAATTTTTCTTTTTTTTTTTTACTTTGTGGGGTTTTGGGTAGCAGACCTCTCCTGACTCTCTCACTGCACCCCTCAGCAGTGTATTTCATTCAATCTGCCTGTTTGGCTCCCCACTCTGTCTCTTTTGACTCCTCTCACCCTCACACCTCTGGCCTGTACCCCAGTTCTTGTATGCAAATAAAATAAATCTTTAAAAAAATAAAAATAAATTAATGCACCATCACTGTCAAGGTACAATTTATTAAGTTTAAAAACTAAGCTTCCACTCATGCCTAGAGGCAGGTTTGGGAGCCTTGAATAGATAAGGGCATGGAGAAGGCTGACTTGGGTGCCATGAGACTGACCACCATGACCAGAAAAGCCAGCCCAGCTCCAGGAATGCAGCAGCTGGGCCAGAACATGTTTCTGTGTCAAAGGCCAGGGCCTGAGACCAGACATCCCAGGAGATAACTGCTGCAAACCAGCACCCCAAAAAATAGAAACCTGCAAAAACAGAATGTAAAGGAGACCCTCAAATCCTCCTTTGGGTGCATACCTCTCCCATCTCACCTGCTGCTTCTCTTAGCAGTGTATTTCAATCAGTCCACCTTCTCTGACCTTCACTCTGTCTCTGGTGACTTCTTTTACCCCTGTGCCACGGACCTCACTTGATATTTCTCCCACTACAATCACCATGTATGATTTATTCCAGAGACATAGACTCAGAAAGATGGAGACTCAGCACAATGCCCACACACAGGTTCCTCACCAAAGACGAAGAAAAATCCAAATATTCTCCTAGAACCTTCATCTGACACCAGAATCCAGTCACCTGTGCAATGAGTGAAGAGGGAGCAGAGGACAGGGCTCCAAACCTTGGTGGAGATGCCTCAAAGATCTGACCATGTCCCCCAGCTGAGACAAAGACCCACATCTCTCTCATCCCCTCCCTCGCAAATGGGAGCAGGGACCCTTCATGCTCTTCATCCCACCTACTCTCCCTCAGCCTCTCTGTGGATCAGACTCAATCCCTTCTACCCCAGAGTTAGGTGAAACCCATGGCACTGGTGAACTTCTCATGTAGCTTATTTTGACATTTGGGCTTTGTACTAAGCCCAAATTGTCCAACGTACTTCCATCTTTTGAGTAAAACTGCTACACAGAACAATTTTACAAAATAAAATCTCTTAGGAAGTGACTACAAACAAATCACACACAGGCACACAGAATTTCCACAAGGCCCAAGCCAGTTTACTTTTTCAACAACAAATCTACATATGAAACAAACACACTAGAGAAACCAAAAATCACATTTGCACTTATGGTAGACAATGCCATGGGGAAGCCAAATTTCCCCATTGAGCTGACTAACCATGGATGGCTCTGTCCGAAATCACATTGGGCCTCAAATCTGTTACAGGGCAGGGAGAGGGACACCCCAGACCCTGCAAAACTGCCTCCTCTAAATAGATTCTGCCATCCACTGCATCAACACAAAACATATGAGACTTTATTGAAAAGGAACTTTAATACAATCAGTAAACAAAACAGCAAAGGCAAAGAATATAGTTTCCAAATCAAGCACCCAGTTATCCGTGCCCTCGTGGGTAAAAGTACACCCAAATGGAATTGGCCCAGAGCAAGGCCCGAAAGCCTGCCACAGGTCTAAAGCACCTTTCAGTGGAGATCCACAGAAAAGGATCAGAAAACAACCAGACAAGTCTGGGAAGAAAAGAGCAAAATCGAAATCAAGATAAAAGCTGCCATTGTCACCTCCCCAGGTGTCTCTCACCCACATCTGTGTCACCCAGTCCACGACCAAAAGGCAAGCACAGTTTCTTCACATGTCTCCGGGCTCCATGTGCCTCCTCCAGGTCTCCTTCTGGCTCCATCCTGCTTTCTTCCTTCCTCCATCCCTGCTCAGCCCCACCCTCCTTTGGGTGGGGTAGGAAATCTAGAACCTCCCCCTTTTCTATGGACCACCCTATTACAAATGCAGTCTCTGCACTGGCTCATGGCAGCACTCCCACTGTCCACCTGTGACTATGCAGTTTCTTCTTTTTGATACCAGAATTGTCAGGCCTAGTCTCCCAGCCAGGAATGGATCCCAGGCTGCAGTACAGTGCTGCGTCCCAGCCACTAGACCACCACAGGTTGGTGTTTCTTGAAGCCACAGCAGGAACTTCGCAGACTCTCAGGCAAGCAAGTGAGAAGAGGCAGGTTTATTTAGAGAAAGAAAAAGTTTATTGAGAAGAAAAAAGAACTGAAATAAAGCGGGACTCCCAGGCTATGAAACCAGGCCAGGGAGGGGCAAGGAAGCCAAAGTGGAGTCGTGTCTCAGGGAATATAGACCTTCTTTCCCTCAGTATTCTAAAGCTGCACCAGTCTCTTTGTGATTGGTTAGTTCTCAGTTGTCTCACTTATTCTGCTACTGAGCGGGGGATCTTTACATTCCTTATCTAACAGGTTTGTCTTTCCCAATCTGTTGCGTCTTCCCCCTTGTTTGATAGATTCATCTTTATGATCCAGTCTCCCAAATGAGCACCCCTGCATTTTAGGGAAGAGAAAGTCAAATTTGCATCAGCTATTGAAGAAAAACAGGCTGGCCCCACCGATCTCACTGCTGACTCCTTCTCATCTCCCCCTTGCATAAATATCCCTGCACTCTGTCAACGGGCAGGACCGTGGTCTTTCAGACCTGAGTCTGCTGCCCTCCTCGTTTGTCAACAAATTAAACCCCTCTCCTTTTCCCAAACTCCGCCTCCCTTTATTAGCTGAGGGAAACTGAGGCCAGAGTTTGGTAACACTGTTGACCTAAGTCCTGGGATGTTTATTATTCCCAGTGGAATTAGTTACAGTCCTCTGGTTGTGTTAGGGGGAAGGATGTCCTGAGCTAATCCCATACAGGCTCTGTGGACTCCCCGCCCCCCCCACTCCAGACCAAAACCATGAAGACATTGGGAAAGACAAATCCCATCACCACCAAAGGGAAGATGGCTGGGACCTGAGGGTGGAGTTAAGCAGCCAGGTTTGGTATAAAAACCAGACCCGTGGGCCTTGGGGTCTCTTTTTTGGCTTCAAGGCTCTTGGCTCACCGCCAGCTCTCAGAGCGCCATTTGGGATTCCAGATCGGCGGATCGGGTAGGACTCATTTAAAACTTTGTCTCCCACTTTTCTCCCTGAGCTGTACATTTCCTCATTTCCCCTTCCCTTGTAAATAAACCTTTTATTAACCTTTTGCATGTGCCTGCAGTAGAGTATTGATAAGTCCTTTTAAGCGCGCGGGTGAGGACCCACAGTCAGGCACCCCGTTTTGTATCGGGGTTGCTCTACAACAGTTGCCCCTATCTCTAATTCTCCTGAGGTCCCCACTTGCACTGTCCTTCAGGCTGCCTAATTCTCCCTA